TGTGTGTGTGTGTGTGTGTGTGTGTGTGTGTGTGTGTGTGCGCACAGCTTCAGATGTGTCCTTGATGGCGGCCGACTTGAACATCAGTCTGACCCTATTCTTCTGTGGAGGAGGCTCAGAGACAAAGCCTCATACTGTCCACCCACTGTTTCTTACACCAACCTAAAAAAAACATTCAAGCAGAAGTCAGATGGAGATTCTTCAAAAACAAACTCTCTGCAGCTGCGTCTCCAGAGGACACGTCACAAAAGACACAAGAGACATCACAGTGGAGCTCAAACCTCCACCAGGTCCCAACTGTCCCCTCCTGACACCACCCTACTGAGAATCATCTCATTGTCTGTCCCTTCACACGTTTCCATCCAACACCTCACTTTAAATGTTCATCCATCCTCATCCACTCATCCACTCATCCATCCACTCATCCACTCATCCACTCATCCATCCACCCACTCATCCACCCATCCATCCACAGGTCTTCCAGCTGTCCATGTCTTGTTCCTCAGCCCAGATGATCTCGTCCCTCCAGTGAGTTCTGGTTCTTCTCCCGGTGACGTACCTGATAAACCTGATAAACCTGATAAACCTGATAAACCTGAACCGTCCTCCTTCACCATGACGGAGCAGCAGCTCTGCAGCCACCTGACGGAGAAAACTCATTTCTGGCTCTTGTGTTATCTCATTAATCCCGTCTCTACCCGGAGCTCCATGACCATCTGAGGGTCAGAGCATCGATCGACTGGGAGATCAAGAGCTTTACTCTTTCTCACACTGTTAATTGAAGCAATAGAAATCCTCCCTCCCTGTGTGAGGGTCCATCACAACACGAGCTGGGATCTTTCCCCGCTCACGTCTCATCCACCAAGTTTCTACAAATCCTGTTCACACTCAAACACGGTGACGGGGGTGAAAACATAACCTCCCTGGTGGAGGTAATGACATTTACACTGATTTGAATTTTATTTCCTCAAACTACGAATAAAGTTCTGCTTCATTTCCATGAGTTCCAACTTTGATGCTTGAATTATGCAAAAAATATGCGGAGGAGAGTGAAGTCGTCCTCCTGCACGACGACGAGGTTTCTGACATTTTACTCCCAATCACGGTGCAATCAAGGCAAAGCACTTGACAATTCACCGCCTGCAATTTACCCAGAGTTCCCTGGTGCTTCAGAAGGCAGCATGTGAGCGACAAATAAAGACGAGTTCATAGAAAAAATAAAAACATGGTTTAAACTCGACTTCCTGTGTTTGCATGTGTTGAATTGCTGAGTTTGATTTTGTGGCGAGAGGGAAATAGTTTGTTTGAGTCCGACAGACTGTTTGTGTGTGTGTGTGTGTGTGT